GCACAGTGTGCCGCATGTATGTGGAAGGGTTTGTGCCGTGCACAGTGTGCCGCATGTATGTGGAAGGGTTTGTGCCATGCACAGTGTGCCGCATGTATGTGGAAGGGTTTGTGCCGTGCAGTGTGCCGCATGTATGTGGAAGGGTTTGTGCCGTGCACAGTGTGCCGCATGTATGTGGAAGGGTTTGTGCCGTGCAGTGTGGCGCATGTATGTGGAAGGGTTTGTGCCGTGCACAGTGTGCCGCATGTATGTGGAAGGGTTTGTGCCGTGCACAGTGTGCCGCATGTATGTGGAAGGGTTTGTGCCGTGCAGTGTGGCGCATGTATGTGGAAGGGTTTGTGCCGTGCACAGTGTGCCGCATGTATGTGGAAGGGTTTGTGCCGTGCAGTGTGGCGCATGTATGCAGCAATGGAGCAACAGCTCCAGGATGGATACCGCTGCGACAGATGTGAGCGGGTTGCCCTTCTGGAATCTTGCATTAGAGATCTGGAGGAACAAGTTGCAACCCTGGGCAGAACCAACAACCTTGAATGGAGTCTTCTGCTCTCTGAGCGGGTAGATAATGGGGTTGATGTGGAGGGCAGAGGGTCTAGTCATGATTATCAGGTAGGTAGATGGGTTACTGTAGCGAGAGGGAGTGGTAGGGGCTCACAGAAAAGGAAGGCTGGCCCTGGGTTTGAGCACCCAAACAGATTTGCCACGTTGGGTGAAGATGTGGGGGTGACGAGCTCAGGGGTGGCAGCCCTGGATGTCACTGCTATCCCTAACAGCCGGGTGGGAAGACCATCTGGGAAGGGTGGTGAGGGTAGTGCAGGAAGGCCTAGACAGCTGGCGGTAATAGGGGATTCTATAATCAGAAGGACTGATAGAATAATTTGTCGCCAGGATCGCCTCAACCAAATGGTTTGCTGTCTCCCTGGTGCCAGGGTTCGGCATTTGGTGGACCACGGGGTTGATAAATTACTGGGAGGGGCTGGGCATGACCCAGCTGTCTTGGGTCCATGTTGGAACCAATGACAATACATGGAAGGTGGAGGCTCCTTAAGAATCAATTTAAACAACTTGGCTGCAATTTGAAGGGAAAGACCTCCAAGGTGATATTCTCTGAATATACCTGTGCCATGTGCAACTCAGGACAGATGGGGAGATTAGAGAACTCAATGAATGGCTGAAGACCTGGTGTAAGAGGGAAGGATTTGGGTTTGTAGAGCACTGGGCTGACTTTTCATTGGGGTGCAACCTATATGCTACTGATGGTTTGCACTTAAATGGAAGGGGGTCTGCTGTGCTGGGGGAGGGGTTTATGGGAAGTCTGGAGGAGTATATAAACTAGGATTGAGGGGGAAGGGAGAATTGGATTATAATGGGGTAGACATATCAGACGGGGGTCAGTCCTTATTGGTGGGTGGAATGGGGAAAGATGGGGGAGGGCTATGGCAGATGATAAGAAGGTTCATATATTACAAACAACCAGTGGAATTGGTACCATTTGTAGGAAAATAAAAAATATATACAAAATATGTGTGCACAAGGTGTCAATGAAGTAAAGTGTTTGTTCCCCAATGCCAGAAGTGTGCCCAGCACAATAGGTGAGTTGGAAGGTTTGGTGCATGAAGAGAACTAGGATTGAATTGGTATTGCTGAATCTTGGCTTCATTCCTCACATGACTGGGCCATTCATATTCCTGGCTAGGTTCTCTTTCGGAGAGACAGGGGAAATAGGAAAGGTGGTGGTGTCTGTCTCTATGTGAGAAGTGATCTCAGTGTGAGTGTGAAAGAGGATCTAGTTGATGGAGAAAGTGATGAGGCTGAAGTATTATGGGTGGAACTGCACATGGGGGGCGGTACTACAAAGGTCATCATTGGAGTTTGTTATAGGCCTCCCAGTGTTAATGAGGAGGTGAAGACTCAGCTCCTTGCACAGAACGAAAGGGCTGCAAGGGCTGGGACAGTGATAATAATGAGGGATTTTAACTACCTGGAAATTGACTGGCAAAAATGTATAAAGCTACTACAGGACAATTTTATGGTACAGTTCATACAGGCCCCTACTAGGAATGATGCTGTGCTGGACCTGGTAATCTCAAACCATGCAGAGCTTATTATGAATGTCCAAATAAAAGAACATCTGGGTAGCAGTGACCATAACATGATCTCATTTATTGCTAGCTGTAAACAGCGAGCACATACGGGAAAAAAAAAATGCTCAACTTTAAGAGAGCTAATTTTCCAAGGCTGAGAGCTGCTTTCCATTGATTTAGACACAACACAGAAATGGGAGTTCTTCAAAAAGACTGTATGTGACCACACTGCAAAATATATTCCCATGGGAACAAGTATAAAAGGCTAAAAATCAAACCTATGTGGCTTACGGCCAAAGTTACAAAAGCTATAGATAATAAGAAAAGAGCTTTTATTAAATATAAAAATGAAGGAACGCGATCATCGTTTACACATTACAAAGAATAGAACAGAATATGCAAAAAGGAAATAAAGGCCGCAAAAGCTGAAAACGATTGCAAAAGATAGCAGGACCAACCAATTCTTCCAATACATGAATAGTAGAAAGGTCCGGTCCCAGCATGTAGGCCCTTTACAGAACCATCTAGAGGGGGTGACTGGGGACAAAGAGAAGGACAATGTATGAAATCCCTTCTTCAGCTCTGTGTATACAAAGGAGCATGGGGGGGGGACTCTTGTCCATAATGGGGGGTGGTACTGACACAGCTCCAGATGATCCACATTGGCTCACAATTGATATGATCCAGAAATATTTAGACAGAATAAAGGTGAATAAAGCCTGTGAACTGGATGGAATAAGCTCCATTTCATGTTGAATTAACTACAATATTCATGTATCTTAAATAGAAATCTATCTTTAGATAGCTTTTTACTCCAAAAGCATTTTATTAAAATAAATTTGATAAAAAATTTAAAAAAATCCTATTTAAATAACAAAATTTTTTTTTTTTTTTAATCTTCAATTTTTATCTGCCCGGGGACTGGATAATATCAGCCTGTAATCCCCTGGTCACTTTCCTCAGCTGTGTTCCCCGTCCTGTATTCCTGGATTTCTATTGGGCATACACTATCTTGCGCATCGCATAGTCCTCATACTATATTGACATTACTGTTGTATCTTATTCAGTAAGTTGTGGGTTACATAGTCCTGACTTCTGCTCTCCATCATCTACCCACTGCTATATATACACATACTATGTATTTTCTTTTGTTACACCCATTTTCTGCCAGCTGGTTATTTTACACTCACCGGCCACTTTATTAGGTCCACCTGTTCAATTGCTTGGTAACACAAATCACAGCCAATCACATGGCAGCAACTCAATGTATTTAAGCATCTAGAAGTGGTGAAGACGACTTGCTGAAGTTCAAACTGAGCATCAGAATGGGGAAGAAAGGGGATTTAAGGGACTTTGACCATGGCATGGTTGTTGGTGCCAGACAGGCTGGTCTGAGTATTTCAAAATCTGCTGATCTACTTGGATGGGATTTTCACACACAAGCATTTCTAGGGTTTACAGAGAATGGTCCAAAAAAAGGGAAAATATCCAGTGAGTGGCAGTTGTGTGGAGGAAAATGCCTGGTTGATGTCAGAGAATGGGCAGACTGGTTCCAGATGATAAAAAGGCAACATGAAATAAAATCAACCACTCATTACAACCAAGGTATGCAGAATACCATCTCCGAATGCACACATCCAACCTTGAAGCAGATGGGCTTCAGCAGCAGAAGACCACATCAGGTGCCACTCCTGTCAGCTAAGAACAGAAAACAAAGGCTACAATTTGCACAGGATCACCAGAATTGGACAATAGAAAATTAGAAAAACGTTGCCTGGTCTGATGAGTCTCAATTTCAGCTGCCTCATTCAGACGGTAGGGTCAGAATTGGGCATAAACATTATGAAAGCATGGATCCATCCTGCTTGTATCAACAGTTCAGGCTGCTGGTAGTGGTGTCATGGGGTGGGGGAATGTTTTCTTGACACATTTTGTGCCCCTTAGTACCATTTGAACATCTTTTAAATGCCACAGCATACCTGAGTATGTGTTGCTGACCATGTCCATCTCTGGACTCCAGTGTCCCCATCTTCTGATGGCTCCTTCCAGCAGGACAATGCACCATGTCATATGACTCCAGTGTCCCCATCTTCTGATGGCTCCTTCCAGCAGGACAATGCACCATGTCCATCTCTGGACTCCAGTGTCCCCATCTTCTGATGGCTCCTTCCAGCAGGATAATGCACCATGTCACAAAGCGTAGATCATCTCCAACTGGTTTCTGGAACATGACAATGAGGTCACTGTACTCCAATGGCTTCCACAGTCACCAGATCTCCATCCAACAGAGCAACTTTGGGATGTGGTGGAATGGGAGATTTGCATCATGGATGTGCAGCCGACAAATCTGCAGCAACTGCGTGATGCTATCATATCAATATGGACCAGAATCTCTGAGGAACGTTTCCAACACCTTGTTAAATCTATATCACGAAGAATAAAGGCAATTCTGAAGGCAAAAGGGGGTCCAAGCTGGTACTAGCAAGGTGTACCTAATAAAGTGGCCTATGAGTATATATCTGATGTTTTGATTGGAGTATAGACATTTACTTGTTAATGAGTTGGCTGTTCTTCATGACTACATCATGGACTAAATAAAGAAGTGCAGTACTTCTTGTGTTGGGGAGATGGCGATGAGTGATAGAGGGGGTGGGGACCCTCGTCCTATAATCCCCTCATCACTGTCCCTCCTATAAAAGACAGTTCTGGTTGTTTCCTCACTCTCTGACTAAGGTCCATGAATAAAGAAATGACCTGGTAGGAGATCAGAGGAGCCATTTCCTAGTTCCCTTGAGGGTGGAATTGTAAGCTCCTCAGAGACCAAGCTGCCTGAGGTGGGCGGAGTCCTGGTTTGAGGGAACCAATCAGCTCCTGTCTAGTAATCCTTTTTGTCTTTGTATTTTAGTCCATGGCCGGGAGATGAGGAAAACCTCTGAGGATTGTCTCACTTTGTCTCCAGACTGGAAAGTAGAAGATGAGGACATCACACAGTATAGTCCAGGAGAAAACCCGGCTCCCTCCAATGTCCATCCGACACCACCCACTGTAGATGGACCATCGGATTCCTCGTATCCTGAGGAACCTCAGACTGTGCGGGACCGGGCCGGCCTTCCAACAGACAAGAGGTTTCCCTGTACGGAGTGTGGGAAGAGTTTCCATTTTAAATCTCATCTTAACGTACATAAAAGATCTCACACGGGGGAAAAGCCATATTCCTGCTCTGAGTGTGCAAAATGTTTTTCAAAGAAGTCCCATCTTTCCACACATCAGAGATCTCACACGGGGGAAAAGCCATTTTCCTGTACTTGGTGCGGGAAATGTTTTATACAGAAATCAGAACTTGTCATACATCAGAGGTCTCACACGGGGGAGAAGCCATTTTCTTGTCCTGATTGTGGGAGGTGTTTTTCACAGAAGTCTGGTCTTTACACACATCAGAGACTGCACACAGGTGATAAGCCGTATTCCTGTCCTGAGTGTGGGAAAAGTTTTATACAAAAATTACAACTTGTAACACATCAAATGTCTCACACGGGGGAAAAACCGTATTCCTGTTTTGAGTGCGGGAAATGTTTTTCAAGGAAGTCACATCTTTCCTTACATCAGAAGTCTCATACAGGGGAGAAGCCGTATTCATGTCCTGAGTGTGAGAAATGTTTTTCAAGAAAGTCACATCTTTACAGACATCAAAGAACTCACACGGGGGAAAAGCCGTATTACTGTCCTAAGTGCGGGAAATGTTTTTCAAGGAAGTCACATCTTTGCAGACATGACAATTCTCACACCATCCTTCAGCATGATCAGGTAGATGAGTAACAATTGCTGATAGTTAAGATTTATACAAAAGTGTGTTTGGTACAATTAAATGTTCAATTATGTATTCAGAGCGGAAACCTCGCAGATTATAATATTGTTGTTAAAGAAGAGTATAAAGAGGAGGATGAGGACTATGGAGTGATGAAGCAGGTTTCTGAAGGACATAAGGACTTCACTATAGAGCCATCAGGTAACAAAAACTCACCAGATCACATTGAACACACAGAAACAATGGATTCAGTCAGTGTGTGTGTTTCCTACAGATGGATCCAGTCATGGGAACCCACCAGAGAGATGTCCCCGTCCTCTGTATTCCCGGGATTCGCACAGGAAGGTCACACCATCCCTCACCATCATCAGGTAGATGAGGAACAATAATTGGTAGTTGTGATTTATACAGAAATGTGTTTGAAACAATGCATGTCTTGTTAAATATTCAGAGAGGAAATCTTAAGGATTACAATATTGTTGTCAAAAGAAGAGTATAAAGAGGAGGATGAGGAGTATGGAGTGATGGAGGAGTTTTCAGAAGGACACAAGGATATGATGGAGCCACCTAATACCAGGAACCCACCAGAGAGATGTCCCCGTCCTCTGTATTCCCAGGGTTCCACACAGGAAGGTCACACCATCCCTCACCATGACAAGGTTGGTGGGATAGAGCATCTAGAAAATGGACTTGTTGAGATGATGTAAAGACATTTTGGGGATGTTACATTAAAAAAACTTACATTTTACAGATATTTTTTCTAATTTTCTTGGTTTAGGGTGAAGATCTAATCGATATAAAAGTTGAGGTTAAAGCAGAAAAAAAAGAGCGTATGTGAGGGATGATCAGCAGTCTATGGAGGAGGATGGAATAACGGGGACATTTATAGAGGAGGACACTCCTACAGAGATCAGCACAGGTGGGTCATGAACACTAAAGTCTAGCGTCAAGTCAATGAAACTCCTGGGATATTGATCTGGTCAGGTAAGTAGCAGAGGGGGTTGTTCATCAGTTTCAGCTGCTTTGGTGTTATGAAATTAACAACAGGTGCACTAGATGGGCAACAATGAGACCACCCCCAAAACAGGAATGGTTTTACAGGGGGAGGCCACTGACATTTTTTCGCTACTCATCTTTTCTGACGGTTTTTCGCTAGTTTTGCATTTGGCTAGGGTCATTGTCACTACTGGTAGCATGAGGCCATACCTGGACCCTACAGAGGTTGCACAGGCAGTCCAATTTCTTCAGGATGGCACATCAATATGTGCCATTGTCAGAAGGTTTGCTGTGTCTCCCAGAACAGTCTCAAGAGCATGGAGGAGATTCCAGGAGACAGGCAGTTACTCTAGGGAAGCTGGACAGAGCCGTAGAAGGTCCTTAACCAATCAGCAGGACCTGTATCTGCCTCACAAACACCCCCTTTCCTCTCTCTGATCACAATCTCATCACCTTCACAATCTCCTCATCTTCAAACACCTATCCCTCCAAGCAGCAAACAATTACCTGCAAAACCTTCACAACTTGAACCCGGCTCCTTTCCACTCTGCAACTGACCAACTCTATGACAGAATCTCTCCCCTGTCCTGCCCTGACCTGGCCACTGCTGTCTACAACAGTTTGCTTTCATCCACACTGGACTCACTTGCTCCTCTAACAAACACGAAGCATCAGGCCCCGACCATTACATCCGTGGCAGACTGACCACACCAGAAATCTTAAATGACATAGTCGTGCACTGGAGTGATTGTGGTGTAAAACCAAATCTCAACAAGCATTCACCCGATATAAATCTGCTTTCTTCACATACAATTCCTCCCTCCATGCTGCCAAACAAGCCTACTTTGTCACTCTCATTAATACCTTGTCATCCAGTCCTCGTCGTCTGTTCTCTACTTTTAACTCTCTACTTTCCCCACCTCCACCCAGTACCTCACTCACTGCTCACGAGATTGCAATCATTTCAAAAACAAGATTGACGCAATTCGTAATAACATCACCACTGCACGACATCCATCCCACTTAGCATACCTTATACTAAACCTCCCTCAACACTTTCCTCTTCTGACCTTGCTACTACCGAAGAGGTCACTAAGGTTTTCTCAGAAGCCCATCTCATCACCTGCCCCCTGGATCCTGTCCCCTCACAATTACTACGTGGGGTCACCCTCTTCGTCCATCCTATGCTCCCTCACTCACATCTTCAATCTTTCCCTCTCTACTGGTGCCCTCCCCTCCCCTCTAAAGCATGCGAACATCATTCCCATACTTAAAAAGCCCTCCCTGGACCCCACCAACCTGAACAACTTAAGACCCATCTCCCTGCTGCCATTTACCTCTAAACTCTTAGAACGCTTAGTCTACAATCTCCTGAGCTCCCACCTCACCGACAACAACCTTCTTGACCCTTTGCAGGCTGTCTTTCGCTCACTACGTTCACTGAAACTGCCCTAAAACTCAAAACTTAACTAATGGATCTACTCTCCCAACGGCTAAAACCAATGACCACTACTCTGTACTCATCCTAACCAATCAATGGCTACTACTCCCCGTACTCTGACTACTTGACTCCCTCTCCCAACCAATGGCTTTTGATACTGTTGACCAATCCTACTCTCCTCCTCCAAAAAACTCGTACACTCTCAATGGCCTCCGAGACTCTGCTCTACTGACCCCCTGGTTCTGTTGACCTCCTCTACCTATCACAGCTCTCTCCTGGTTCTCCTCCTACCTATCGCAGCCCTCCTTCCTTCAGCGTTACCTATAACGCTGCCTTCCTCCTCCTCTTCACTCCCTCTTTCTGTAGGGGTCCCTCAAGGTTCTGTCCTTGGACCCCTTCTCTTCTCCATCTACACCTCCTCCCTTGGTCACTTGATACACTCCCATGGCTTTAAGTACCATCTCTATGCTGATGACACACAAATCTATCTTTCTACCCCTCACCTCTCACCCTTCAGTCTCCTCTCACATCACTAACCTACTAAGTGACATATCGGCATGGATGTCACTCCACTTCCTCAAACTCAATCTTTCCAAAACTGAGCTCTTAGTATTCCCCCCAGCCCGTGCCCCCTCCCCTGACTTCTCCATCAAGACCAATAATACAATCCCATCAGTCCTTCCCCTCATGCCAGGGTACTATGTGTAATCCTAGACTCCCATCTGTCCTTTCAGCCCCAAATCCAATCACTGTCCAAATCTTGTAGACTTCACCTCCGCAACATCTCCAAGATTCGTCCGTTCCTAACCTCGGAAACCACTAAGCAACTTATTCACTCCTTATTATATCTCCCCTGGACTATTGTAACTCCCTCCTCATTGGCCTACCTCATCGCAGGCTATCCCCTCTTCAGTCTATCATGAATTCTGCTGCCAGACTCATCCACCTTACTAACCGTTCCATATCTGCCACCCCTCTCTGCCAATCTGCCTCCCAGTGTCCTCCACCCTCTCTGCCAATCCCTCCACTGGCCTCCATTCAGTGTCCTCCAATATTCTCAGTGTCCTCCACCCCTCTCTGCCAATCCCTCCACTGGCTTCCATTCAGTGTCCTCCACCCCTCTCTGCCAATCCCTCCAGCCCCCTCAGTGTCCTCCACCCCTCTCTGCCAATCCCTCCACTGGCCTCCACTCAGTGTCCTCCACCCCTCTCTGCCAATCCTCCACTGGCCTCCATTCAGTGTCCTCCACCCCTCTCTGCCAATCCCTCCACTGGCCTCCATTCAGTGTCCTCCACCCTTCTCTGCCAATCCCTCCACTGGCCTCCATTCAATGTCCTCCACCCCTGTCTGCCAATCCCTCCACTGGCTTCCCATTGCCCAATGGATAAAATTCAAAACATTAACAATCACATATAAAGCCATTTACAACTCTGCCCCAAATTACATCGCCAATCTTGTCTGCAAATATCACCCAAACCGTCCTCTCCGCTCCTCCCACCACGACCTCCTGCTCTATAGCTCCCTTGTCTCCTCCTGCCATGCTCATTTCCAGGACTTCTCCAGAGTCTCCCCATCCTCTGGAGCTCTCTACCCCAATCTATCCAACTATTGCCTACTCTGCCCACATTTAGATGATCTCTGAAAACCTATCTCTTCAGGGAAGCCTATCCTGCCCTCCTATTCCTCCTACCAGTCCATCCCCCCCAATTATTGCCTTTTGTACCACCAGCCCCTCCCTCCTAGATTGTAAGCTCCCAGGATCAGGACCCTCCTAATCCTCTTGTATTGAACTACATTGTTGCTGTATTGTCTCCCTTTATATTGTAATCTCTGAGAAAACTGTTGGTGCTATATAAATCCTGTATAATAATATTAATAAATCCCCCAGGACACCATCCGTTGTCTCATTAGGAGCCTCCCCCCGACATTGTCAGGCATGCATACAAGCACGTGGGAGCCATACAATTTAATGAGTACCATTCTGAGTTGCTGCAATGAAATTTCAGAAAATGGACTTGCCTGCTGCATCCTTTTTCACTTTGATTTTCAGGCTGTCTTTGAATTCACTCCTCTGTAGGTCGATCATTTTCATTTCCATCAAACGATGGGACATCCTTACATTCCTAACACATAACCCCGTCCATGTCAGTATAGAGATCCAGCAGGAGATTGTTCCCCATTGAGATCTGATGTGTTTTCAAAATGTTCCTTTCATTTTTTTATTTTTTTTTGAGAATTGTACATTCCTCCACCCATACTGCTCACTGATTGGTCCAAAGTAGGGTAAGGTTTGGGAGATACCAGCCTATAATACCCTGATCACTTTCCTGAGCTGTGTTCCCCGTTCTATATTTCTCTCGGATAATCTTCCTTTGTGCTGCAGACACAGTTTATGTATTTATACTAGATTTATGGAGATTCTGGGGTTCAGCTTGAAGCAAAATGTTGATTTTTACCATAGACATTGCTCATCCTAGGTACCTGGGTCATGTGCTTTGGGTCTTCTACCCCATATCAATGGTCTAGCAAGATCTCTGACATAGAAATTCTCCCAGGGTTACTTGTTCTGTTTTCTGCTGGGTGGAGGGATAGTCTGTATAGTCTCAGACCCAAGTCATTGAGCGCAGTCTCAGGAGATGGGAGGCAGCGGTGTGGGACCTCTGCAACTTGTCTACAGGAAACATTTAATGTTCTACTGATTTATGAATAATAATATTATGAGTCCTGACCCCTGCACTATATAATCTATATCTCTCATTACATACTCCTGACCCCTGCACTATATACAATACCTTGTGCATTACAATCCTCATGCCATATTAATCTAACTGTATCTTATTCAATAAGTTGTGGGTTATATAGTCCTGACTTCTGCTCTCCCCCCCTCTGCTATATATACACATAATATGGATTCTCTTTTGTAACACCCATTTCCTACCAGCTGGACATTTTATATCGGATGATGTGATTGGAGCACAGACTTTTACATGTTGATAATGTGATAACATCCTCCAACTTTGGACCCTTAAACAGAAAGTTATAATGAGGGAGGAGTCAATACCCCAATGATGGTGGTCTTCAGGATCAGTCCAGTCTTCATCTTGGTTGTTCTCCCCCCATCCTCACTCTCTGACCTCTGGTGGGGCTCAGCCCCGCTGTTCTTCATGACTAAATCATGGACTAAATAAGGAAGTGCAGTACTTCTTGTGTTGGGAATATGACGATGAGTGATAGAGGGGGTGGGGACCCTCGTCCTATAATCCCCTCATCACTGTCCCTCCTGTAAAAGACAGTTCTGGTTGTTTCCTCACTCTCTGACTAAGGTCCATGAATAAAGAAATGACCTGGTAGGAGATCAGAGGAGCCATTTCCTAGTTCCCTTGAGGGTGGAATTGTAAGCTCCTCAGAGACCAAGCTGCCTGATGTGGGCGGAGTCCTGGTTTGGGGGAACCAATCAGCTCCTCTCTAGTAATCCTCTTTGTCTTTGTATTTTAGTCCATGGCCGGGAGATGAGGAAAACCTCAGAGGATTGTCTCACTTTGTCTCCAGACTGGAAAGTAGAAGATAAGTACATCACACAGTATAGTCCAGGAGAAAACCCGGCTCCCTCCAATGTCCGTCCGTCCGGCACCACCCAGTGTAGATGGACCATCGGATTCCGCGTATCCTGAGGACCCTCAGACTGTGCGGGACCGGGCCGGCCTTCCAACAGACAGGAGGTTTTCCTGCACTGAGTGTGGGAAATGTTTCCCTTCAAAATCCAAACTTATTGTGCATAGAAGATCCCACACAGGGGAAAAACCATATTCCTGTCCTGAGTGCGGGAAATGTTTTTCAGAGAAGTCCCATCTTTCAATACATCAGAGATCTCACACACGGGGGAGAAGCCGTTTTCCTGTACTTGGTGTGGGAAAGTTTTGTACAGAAATCAGAACTTGTCACACATCACAGGTCTCACACAGGAGAGAAGCCATTTTCTTGTCCCGATTGTGGGAGATGTTTTTCACAAAAGTCCATTCTTTACACACATCAGAGACTGCACACAGGTGAGAAGCCATATTCCTGTTCTGAGTGCGGGAAAAGTTTTGTACAAAAAATTCAACTTGTCACACATCAAATGGCTCACACAGGGGAAAAGCCATATTCCTGTTTTGAGTGTGGGAAATGTTTTTCAAGGAAGTCGCATCTTTCCATGCATCAGAGAATTCACACAGGAGAGAAGCCGTATTCCTGTTCTGAGTGTGGGAAATGTTTTTCCAGGACGTCCCATCTCTACAGACATCAGAGATTGCACACGGGGGAGAAGCCACATCCCTGTCCTGAGTGCGGGAAATCTTTTTCAAGGAAGTCCCATCTTTGCAGACATCAGAGATCTCACACGGGGGAGAAGCCACTTTCCTGTCCTGAGTGAGGGAACTGTTCCTCTCTGAAGTCCTGTCTTCCTGTACATCAGGGGTCCCACACAACCCTGGAGGTGTATTAGTGCCTTGAGTGCGGGAAATGTCTTCTAGATGAATGTTGCTGGACATCCCAGCTCTCATGTGGGGAAGAAGCACACCCTGATATACACCTCAGATATACTCCATGGCTGATCTTCATCATGGAAGAAACAGTTCATAAGGAGATCAGAGGTCACCAAAGACATGGATGAAGTGTGAGACCGGGTTGGCCATTGATAGCAGGAGAAGAATAAAAATGGGAGTCATCACCTTTCATTAACTGAGTAAATTGTATGGTGCAGAGACTTAGAGATCTAGTTTTGAAGAAAAAAAAAAATGAACGAATGTAACAAGCATTCGTCCAGATGTGACGAATGTTGGTATTTTATTTCATACATTGATTTCCTATGATCAATTACTTTTTCTAGCGGCCATAATGTGGTGTTGAACTATTTTTCCTAATTGAGGTATTTTGGAAAATAATACCTCATTATGTCCAGTAGATGGAGCTGGTGATCATAGGAAATCACTGTTTTTATTAAAATAGAAGCAGACATCCTCACAGGCACCCAAGATATTTTTTTTGAATAGCCCCCATTATTTACCATGTCAAGGGTGGTCTCATACAAACAAAAGATCATGCTCATGCATTTGTAGCTGGATGCTGCTGTTGGCTGTGTGCGGGCTCCTTTACCTCTGCCACTTTGACCAGTAAACAGGGCTGTGTGCAGATCCTCCATCCACCTCATTCCTCTGCTAGAAGTGAGCTGTTCGGCATACAGAGAGAATTATGCAGTCAGCTTCTCTTCAGCTGCAACTGACAACAGCAGAATCCCCCCACATGCAGCAGGGAAGGGCCCATGAGAGTTGGTGCCAACAAAATCATCAGAGAAGGACACTTGCTGTGCATAAGAGCAACCTGAGAAATGTCGTCTTTAATGGGCACTGTATAATGGAAATTAATGGCAGAAAAAACTTCAGGAGCCAAAATCCCTGCGCACAAAGGAGAGACACAAGACTGTTTGTTTTTTTTTTTTCTGGCCAAATCTAGAAACTGACAGGTCCTTGCTGAGAGGAAGCTCAGATGTGTTGCCTTTGCTGAACCTGCGCAGAGAGCAGGGGCTCTAGCTGTGTCCAAAAGAGCCTGAGGACTGAGATGCAGAGGATTTGCTTGCTGTGCCTACAGTAGAGTTGTGAAACCTGCTACCGTGAGTGCCTATAGTAGACGTGACCGACCGAGATTTGTGGAGGACCAGACCTGCAGAGAGACTGAGCCTTGCGAGACCTAACTTCAGAAGACTGCAGACTGCCAAGTGATCTGGATCGGATGCCTGTATACCAGGGGGCGAGCTGAACATCTGTGCCTATCTCAATACTGACACAGTTCATTCAGGAGAGACTCCCCCTTGTTGGCGCCCACTAGCCATCTGCTGCATGCTCTTAAATGGACAGCCACACGTGCACCATCTACAGAAGGGCCCCAACGAAAGCTGGCCAACACCTGCCCATCCCACCTGCTATTGGTGCTGTATGCATAGTGTGCACACAAGGACCTTTATTTTCCTGAGTCATTTGATGCCATTACTTAAACTCTAATTGCACTAGTTACAGTTAGTTTTAACATTGCAATAGTTAAATTTACTGTCAGCTTATAGGTCAGTGCTCATTTATCTAGTTTGGAACCTTGAATCTGTTTATTTGCTTGTTGAATGATGTATGCATTGTTTAACTGCGTTTGTTCAATACATTCATTTATTCTACCACCAGTCGCTTGGCCTATTTCTTGTGTAGTATTACAATGTGTAGCATGCCAACGCTTAAGTTACAGAGGTGTGTATAACCTATAACCGGGTGTGTCAGAGGGGACTGACTATCTTCGAGAGTCATGGCAGAACAGAGAACCCATCATCAACAGCTAGGGGGAGCTCTAATGTTTAGAGCAGGGGTCTCCAAACTTTCTAAATAAAGGGCCAGTTTACTTTCTTTCAGACTTTAGGGGGGCTGGTCTGTGGCCATTGGGAGTTGAAATTCTCCTGCTGTCAGTGGGAGTAAACCATGCATCTTTGGTATTAGGGGGAGGAATAGTGCCCCATTGCTGGTGTCAGTGGGAGGAATAGTGCCCTATAGTTGGTGTCAGTTTGAGTGCTTCATCATTGGTGTCAGTGGGAGGTATAGTGCCCTGTTGTTGGTGTCAGTTGGAGAAATAGGGTCCCATTGTTGGTGTCAATGGGAGGAATAGTGCCCTATAGTTGGTGTCAGTTTGAGTGCTTCATCATTGGTGTCAGTGGGAGGTATAGTGCCTTGTTGTTGGTGTCAATGGGAGGAATAGTGCCCCATCATTGGTGTCAGTTTGAGTGCCTCATCATTGGTCAGTGGGAGGTATAGTGCCTTGTTGTTGGTGTCAATGGGAGGAATAGGGTCCCATTGTTTGTGTCAGTGGGCCCCATTGCTGATGTCAGTAGCAGGAATTATGCCCCATTGTTTGGGTCAGTGGGAGGAATAATGTCTTGTATCAGTGGGAGGAAAAGTGCCTCAAGGGCCGGATAAAGGCAAGCAAAGAGCCGCATCTGGCCCCTGGGCCGCAGTATGGAGACCACTGGTCTAGAGTATGACCACAAGAGAGTGATTCCATCTAGCTCCCATTAACTGTTTCACTGGCAGGGCTGTTTTGCTTTTTTTTTTTTTTTTGCACATGTTAAAATGGACCTGGAGATTAGTTAAACCCCCAAACATATATTTTCTGAAATCAGAGACCCTGGAGTACAAAATGGTGGTAATTGCTGATCATACACAAATTTCACCTTAAAAGAAATGTGTTCGATTGAAGAAATATACCTAGCTGTCCCCCTCTGGCTCTAAGACAGGGAACTGATCGACCACAAGACCACTGAGCACTGGCTCTCTGCCCCTCCAGTGGTCACTTGAGCACCAGACTGTGGGGGGGAGCAGGAGCGGCTGGTTCAGGCTCTTAGTAGTGCTCTGAGCAACTGAGCTAGCTGTCAGTCAGGCATCTGAGTGGAATATGACATTATTGTAAGGATCCCCGAAGATCCTGGACCAACTCTGTGATATCAGCTGACAGCGGGCGAATTCTGGGTCAAAGGAAGCACAACTAAATGCACGCCTTTGACCTACAGAAGATGTATGACCAAAAGAGCTTTGATCATACTTCTCCTTTAAAATCTGTGTTTATCTTCTACTTTTTCTCCATTTTCTATGTTGTGATCTACTCTGTAATACTGTGCAGTGGTCAGAAGTATATCTTATACAGGCTGATGTACTGAGTGCAGTGGTCAGGAACATGTCATATATACTCAGGGTACAGAGTGCAGTGGTCAGGAACATGTCATATATACTCAGGGTACAGAGTGCAGTGGTCAGGAACATGTCATATATACTCAGGGTACAGAGTGCAGTGGTCAGGAACATGTCATATATACTCAGGGTACAGAGTGCAGTGGTCAGGAACATGTCATATATACTCAGGGTACAGAGTGCAGTGGTCAGGAACATGTCATATATACTCAGGGTACAGAGTGCAGTGGTCAGGAACATGTCATATATACTCAGGGTACAGAGTGCAGTGGTCAGGAACATGTCATATATACTCCGGGTACAGAGTGCAGTGGTCAGGAACATGTCATATATACTCCGGGTACAGAATGCAGTGGTCAGGAACATGTCATATATACTCAGGGTACAGAGTGCAGTGGTTAAGGTTATGTCATATACAGCCTAAGGCACGGAGTGCAGTAGTCAGGAACATAATCTACAGCTCAGCATATATAGTGCAGTGGTCAGGAGGATGTCATATATGGCCCAGCATACAGAGTGCAGTGTTTAGGAACATGTCATATACAGCCCAGCATGCATAGTGCAGTGGTCAAAAGTAGATCTTATGCTTGTGTATAGAGTGCAGTGGAGGATGTCAGTATACTGCCCAATGTACAGAGTACAGTGGTCAGGCGTTTGTCATATAGAGTCCGGCATACATAGGACACTGTTCAAAAATGTGTCATATACAGCCCTTGTAAGGTCTATTGAATGCAGGTATTCAGCAACAGCAGGGATGACCACAATGGTGGCCTACACCTAAGGAAACTGTATGACCGAGTATAATTAAGAAAGCTTATTACTGCACACAACACCCATAGACCATAAGCAAAAATGAAAAATAAATGTGATGGTAAAGCAAATAGCTAACCCAACCACCTAACAATAATGCACTCTGTACAAATGGAGGGAAGCTCGCATAAACAGGGTAGAACAAGGTGATCAGAGATGGGATAACGATGCAGAAAACTGGATAGAGGATACAGGATCAAGCAGAGAAGCAGCTCGCAGACAGAACACTGAGGCACTGACGATTGTTAAGGGTGGGATTATATACCTTCCCAGCAGCCAGCATCAGGTGCAGCCTAATTACTGGGAACTGCTGGCTGCTGGGAGACACTCGCTGGTGGCCTCTGGAACTGCGGGAACTTCAGATCTGGGAACCACAGTGCCACCAGTAGGTCATCAAGGCCCTGACAATCCCCCCCCCCCCCCCCCCCCGCACATTAAGTAGTGGCTTCTAGATGCTCTACTTGAACGTAAATGTCCATGTGAGTGACCCTTGTGCTGGATAAGTCTAAAAAAGAGAAGATCTCCCATCAGTGTTTGAAAACTTTGCCAATTTCCTTAGGCCATAGACCTTCAACCCACAAGATACCCCACCGATGGGGCCTAGAAACTGGCTGGATGCACCACCACTGGAGTTAAGAAACTGCCTGGGTGCCACACAGATTAGGTCCTTTTAATAGGTGCTACACATGGAATTTACAGTTCCTCAAGGCAGCAAATGTCCCAATGTTTGGATCATTTTGGCTTTTTAAAGGCTTTCACTGGAGTCCTTAACTTATACAGGCACCGTGACACCAGGATATCCCATTGTAACTGGATATTG